TTAGTTATATTGGCTCTTATAATTGCACTCGGACAACATAATAGGGTTTTCATACATGGTGTAACAACAACTTGGAATCAGATAAGTATGCTTGATGTTCTCCAGATATTACATTTTTCTGAAAGGTTGAATTTGATGACAAGGTGCTGTGTGTTCAGTTGTCCATCCTTTTCTTTTTGTTTATATGCAAGAAATGAGCAAACATTTGAGCAGTAACAGATTTTCAGCAATGACTTTGCAAATAGTAGGAGATTATACCGGTAATGGCATCACTGCTTCCAGGATGTTGGGGACAACAGATTCACTTTATTGTCAAACTCTAGATTAATTTAGTTTTTTTGTTTTATCGGTTGGCATTGTGGCAGGCAGACAAACCAACTAATGAAAACCCTCCCAAGGTATAATGGTTACTGTTTCTCTTTTATTTTCCTCTTTCACAGGTCTGGTCACTGACACGAGCACCAGCACGACGCTGAACAAAACAACGCTCTATATTCCCCCGATTCTTTTTTGAGTCATTGCCCGGCAGGAAAACGGAGGTCGTGGGGCTGGAGTGTGTTCTCATGGCCGAGTCAGAGACTGAATGTGACACGCCCGGCCTTGACACACTTGGGTCGGAGTGTGTCATAGCCCACAGCCATGTCGACCTTCACTATGGAGCAGAAACTGAGATCATGACTGAAGAAAAGCGTGGATTAGAGTTGGAGATCCATGGCTCAGACTTGAAGATCCAGGGTCTGGGGACAGAGCTCGGAGCTGTAACCTGTGTGGATGCAATTGTAGCCGAGACAGACCATGAGTACATTAAAGTGGAACATGGCGAGATGCACTGCTTCACAGGAGCAGAGATCAAGACAACAGGAAGTGAGGCTCTGCTGGGAGAGGTGCTGCTTAAGACGGAAAGTGAGCATGTGGTCAAAGTTGAATCTGACCATGGTGGAGAGTTGACAGTGGAGTCTGAGAATGGTGTAATCATACATGAAGCCCATGGTCTGCAGTGCAATGAGTGTGGGGAGATTTTTGGCAGCATAGCTGATCTTCACCAACACTTTGAGATCCATAAGGACCTCAACCCGTACATCTGTGTCCACTGTGGTGAAAGCTTTGCTGTGGAGGCCAGCCTCAAGCAGCACATGAAGATTCACATGAAAGAAAAGCCGTATGTTCCTCCTGGAGTTGAGATAATGAGCAAAGATGTTATTGATGCCTTCAGCCTGAAGTCTCACCAGATGATTCACTTGCCAGACAAGCCACACAGATGTTCAGAGTGTGGCAAGAGCTTCGCAGCTGCCATCACCTTGAGAGAACACATGAAGATGCATTCAGAGGACAAGCCCTACAAGTGCACCCAGTGTAGGAAGAGCTTTGTCCGCAGAAGGCATCTGAAAAAGCATCAGGAGGTTCATGCACGTGAGAAGCCATATACCTGTGGACAGTGTGGCAAAGGCTTTGCTACAACATCCAACCTGAAGCAGCACCAGAAGACCCATGCTCCAGTTGTCCTTGGAGATAAACCCCACAGGTGCACACAGTGCACAAAGTGTTTTGCAGCTGCGGCCACTCTGAGAGAGCACCAGAGGATCCATTCGGGTGAAAAGCCGTACAAATGCAACATGTGCAGGAAGAGCTTTGTCCGCAAACGCCATCTAAAGAAGCACCAGCAAGTTCATGCCGGGGGGAAGCCCTACACCTGCAGACACTGCAACAAGGGCTTCAATCACTCCTCTTCTCTCTCTCGTCACCACAAGACCCACCTCCAGAATCCAGTCTTTTCTCCACCTCAGCCTGGGAAGCCCATGTCCTATGGTACTGCCCCAAAGCAGAGGGTCCACCAGCAGGGAGACAAGCCCTACATGTGCCACCACTGTGATAAGGGATTCAATCATTCTTCTTCCCTGTCCCGGCACCAAAGAGTCCACTCAG